ATGGCGATACGAGGTATCCCATGTTGAATGACGAAGTGTGGGGGACATGTTCCACCTTGCCTGAAAATAAAATTTTTAATTTTTATCCAATAAAACATATAAAGCATGCTTTTGTGAACATTCTGATATTATAGTGATCCACAAAAAAATGATTGTAGTAGCCCATGGAAAAAATCACGAATTTAAAGAGCAGTTATCACTTTCGCTAGAATTTCTCTATATGAATTTCTTTTTTGTATTTTTCTCAAAGTTAAAAACAACATATGATTATGATGACGATAATGTTAAAATCTCTTTAGAAAAAATTTAATTATGGACTAGTGAACATCAAAATTAAGGAATTTAAAGTAGATAAAAAGACAATCAGAAAAATGTATTTAGGACTAAGTAGGGTTTCAATCAAAACATTCATATCTGATATTATTGCTAAGTATAGTAATTGTAAAATATCCTTAAAATAGCTATTTATGCAACCAGTTACATAAAATGACGAATATAGTATATTTTGTTTTAAATCCTTCACAAAAAATAGTCTAAATTTTGAACATTAAAAGCAGACCATCATCAACTTAAATTTCTTAGAACCTTTCCCTTTTCATGATAATTTCATTCACTCTCTGGTTGCTGAATGTGAGTGCACCTTCCGCAGCACCTGTCCAAATAAAACACGACAAATTTTGACGCGTACGATCGTATACGTGTATTGGAACCAGACCCGATAAATTTAGGGACCCAATGGCCCTAATAAATTACTTGTGTACGTACCGTAAATAATCTAGGTATGTTTGTATAACATTTTTTTTTATTTTGGTATTTTAAGGCTTTAACCCCTGCGCCTCTGTGTGTCGGCGGAACTGTTAAAGTTAAAAAACGGGACAAGTTCGTACTTAAATTTAGTCGATTTATATTAGACATCTGGTTGTCATTTGTAAATAAAATAGAGATATTACTCATGTTAGAGAGGTTGTTAAAAAATAAGATGAAATTAAAACTCGAGTAATACCTGTGTATGAGTTTTAAAATATGGATACTGTCAAAATTCATGTTGCGACGACAGGGTAAATTCATTGGGTATTCTTGTATACACCTTTAAGGTAGAATACATTTGTTTTTTTTTTTAGTTTTGAGCTTCATATGTACATTAACTTGTCAAATATTAAGGAAGGGAAATGTTAAAAACTGAAATTTATTATTTACTAAACTCCTACATGATTTTTTTTCACAGTAAGATCTAATTTTTTATTTCTCATATTTTAAAAAAATGTAAAAATAATATTGATTGAATCATCCTTATTTACTAATTCTGGAGAAATCTTTAGAATTCCTTGGTTACTCTTAGATATTCTTCGCCTTCGGGTATTTCCAGTTATTCCCTCAATATTCCAGGATTCTCTTGGTATTTCCAGGTAGTCTCTGCCAGTCTCTGGATATTCCCAGGTATTCTCTGGGTATTCCTATGTATTATTTACGATAGGTATTCTTGTGTACACAGTTTTTTTAAAATATTTTACCCTCGAATTTTGGTGTAAGAAGTAACTAATAATATAAGCCGGTTCAATATGTATGGAGAATTGAATGTTTATGTTTATTCATTATAAAACATATTTGAATGTACTGTTTATTTTTTGTTTTCCAAGATATCCAATTGATTTACAATTTTCATCTTTCTGTGCATTAATTTTAAACAAGTATTTGGGATAACTTGCATGACCAAATATGGTTCTAATTAAAGATGTAAGTAATATAGTGTCTTTGGAATTACATGATTTTTAAATCAGGGAAAGTTATTTTTGAAAGAATATATTTTTGTATTTTAGTGACTGATTGGAATAAGTAGAATAGAATTATTGTGACCAATCATGTCTCCATTTTCACATAATGTTGGATTTTATTAAGGCAAAAACATAATATTATTAATGGTGTTATTTCCTTTTTTTATTGTAGATTTGGCTAAAATATCAACATATTCATTATTATTCAGTCCAATATGAGCCTTTACCCGTATAAAGCCTATTGCTATAATTCTCTTGATCATGTTTTTATTAGTGAATTGTATCTTTTTGTTTTCATTTGGTTAAACATTATTGTTTTATTTCCTGATTGTTTGGTCTGTTTTGCCATATTTTATTATATTACCAAATTACAATTATTATTATTTTATATTAGTTGTTTTTAACTTTTAAATTATATTATTTTAAGACAGTTATTTGTTTTATTGTTTTAATTCACCAATCTCCTTCTGTCTACATTATTAACAAAACTGCATTTAACTATATTTAAATTATTTTGTAGATCCTGTCATAAGTACATTTGCCTTGTCTTTTTATTCCTTTATCTTTCCAAAACACTTTTATTTCGTCATTCTTATTGTATCTCTTTCTTGACCTGTGTTGAAGTTCTTCCTTTTTCTAACAATTTTCTATTTTTTATGTTTTTTCTAATTGTATCTATCATTTTCTTATTCTTATTTTATTATTCCTTCGCCCTCTTAACTTTGTTTTCTTGTTTTTCTTCCTCTTGTTTGTATTCTATTTTTAAATCTTTATTTACTGTAGTTCTCTTAATTCTTGGACATTTCTATGTAGATATTTCTTATATTTTTATTCATTTTATTCTGTTCTGCTTTCTCTATTTGACAAGCTGTAATTATTTTATATTTTTTTAACTTCCTGGAATCTTCTCTCGGGCTCTTCTTTTTTTCATCTAAAGAAGGGTATCCAACTCCTCAAATTTGGAAATTAGAGGTAAGAAATTACTCAAAATCAGTTCCACAGTCAACCGGTTTCGGCATTATGCCATTAGATTAGATTTAATTAGGACTATGGGCCATGTGGCCTCCCCCACCTCGACCTTTTCAGATCTATTGTGGATATCCTTTAATCATTGTTTAGAGTACCTTGTCTAATGCGGTCTTTTGTAGTAGACTCCATAGACTGGGAAGTAGTTCTCCGGTATAGCTAGTTGCCCTTGGTTTTTCTTCTCCAAGTGTAAGGAATCTCAGTCTTACTAGACCTTCGCAGTAGCACAATACGTATTCTGTCGTTTTCTCTTCTTCTTGACAGAATCGGCAGAATCAGACCGATATTGAACATATGTTTGTTAAGCCTACAATGCTCTGTTAATAGACCTACTAGTATTCTAGTATTTTTCCTATTAAGGCTTAGTAGATGCTCGGTGAGTTTAGACGATGGTCCTTTTAAGAACTTTTTGGCCTGTCTCTGTCCTGGTGAGTTTTCCCACCACTCCTGAGATTTTTTAAACATCCACTGCTTTGTGCATGTTCTGATAGTTGTTTTTGTTACACCACAGAAGGGTTCTGGGCCAATAAGAGCATTTGATGCTCCTTCTCGGGCTAGTAAATCAGCCTCTTCATTGCCTTTGTGTCCCCTGTGGCCTGGTACCCAGGCTAAGGTTAGTCTGTTTTGACTACCCAGCTCTGTTAGGGCTTCCAAACAGTCCCACACAAGCTTTGAGTGTACCTGCATGGAACTGAGTGCTTTTAACGTCGCTTGACTGTCTGAGTATATGACAATGGTTTTTCCATTTACCTTCTGTCTTAATACTTCTTTTGCGCAGTGATGTATTGCTGCTATTTCTGCCTGGAATACTGTCGCATGTTTACCTAAGCTCAGTGAGATTCCTGTCTTTGGCTTGGTACTATATATACTTACTCCTAAACCTTCATGGGTTTTGGAGCCGCCTGTATACCAGGTGAGATTATCCTTAAGTTTATCATTAAATAGCAAAATAGACACGAATCTATAATAATTATGAGTGTGTTTGGTCCTAGAAGTTCTGCATTCACTTGGCCAGAGTAGGTCCCAGGTCGAAGCAGGTAGGTAGTAGCTTCGTATTCATGCAGGAGTATCATTCAGGATCTTAAAGCGGTGGGTACTGCGGGATGAATATATGAAAGCAGGTGTACATGCAGGAGTCCAAAATACCTTTTACCATAGGCTTAAAACCGAGTAGATATTTTTAGCAAGTAAAGGTACAAATCGTAACTAAAAAGGTCTACGAAGAAAAAATACATTGTTAGCACTCTAGTATAAGGAATATTAAATGAAGAAAATAACAGAAATTGTTAGTTTGACCTTCCTTTGATGGTGGATGACCTTAAAAAGGTGAGAAATAATATTTATTATCTATTAAATTTTTTAAACAAATATCCTCATAAAGAGATTCTTCGTTTGTATAACAAACCGAAGTAAAATATATTTAAAAATTTAAAGATTTTTGGAAAGTCCAAAGATAAGAGAATCAGTTTTTTCCCGCTCTCAATTTCTCACGAAAATCTAGTGATTTTGAATTTTAAAAATATTGTAGGTACTGGTAAGCAGATTTTTGGTGTTGCTAAGATGGACCAGAGTCTACCAACTTCTGTGAAGGGGGAGCCAGAAAAGAAGAATTGTGACAGGGTAATTAGAACAAAGAAATATTCAAAAAGAAGAGGATCAAAATAAACATAACCCTTCTGGTATGATAACAGAACTCCTTTATAAATAAAATGGCTTAATTCACACAGATTTGTAAATCCAAAAGGTCTGATATTTGATTTTTTACAATTATTTAAGTTATATAAGACTGATAAAATCTCATCCCTAATATATTTCTAATATGGCAAAATAAAACCATTACAGTCTTCTTCTGTCTTCTTAGTCATTTGTTTGTTTGTTTGTTTCATTGTCAGTGTTTTGTGTTTCTAATTCTTTATTTATTATTATAATTTCTTGTTTTTTTTTTCTTTTCTATCTTCTTTAATCTGATTTATTTTTGTTCATTCTTGTTTGTATTTGGTCTCCTTTCTTATTTTTTATTTCTATATTTTGTTTAATTTCCTCTGAATATTTCCTGAGGTTTAATTATATTCTCTCCTCTCATACTGTCTAGTTTTGTTCATGTTTAAAATATTGTAAGATTTCTTTTCTATATTGTTTCATTTCTTCTTTATATTCTTTCCTTCTTCGTTCAATTCATTTTTTTTTCTTCGCTATCTTTATTCATATTTTCACAAAATTGTCTTTTTTATCTTCTCTTCCTTGTTTTGACTTCTGTTTAACTTGATACTCTTCTTCATCATGTTTTTCCTCTATTATAGTTGTTGGATTTTCTTCAGTTTTCTTTTCTTCTGTCTTTCTCTCCGATTTATTGTCTGCATCGACTGTGGCTGCATCATTTTCTTTTATGATTGTTTCATCTACGTTTTGTTCGTCTGTTCCTTATATACTACCTTGCCCTTTATCTTCTCCGTCTTAGTGCTGTTCCTCTGTTACGCTCTGCCCTTACTTATGAAAGGGGCCGAGCGTAATTTCTGCTAGCTCCTTAAATTTTTTTAGATTTCCGGAGAGTAGGGTCGGGTCCTTAGTCAGAACTTAATAAAATGCAATTTCGTCTGACAGCTATTTAATTTTTGGAGGTTAGATGAAATAAGAATATGTCAATAAAAAATAATATGGGAAAAAAATATGAAATTATCACGCCGATATATCGGTAATTATATATATTATAATAGTGAGTATATGTAAAAAGAGGTCCCCGAATAGTACTATCCGTTACAAACCCGTACTTATACCACGTAAGTATTAATCTGATTCTTAATAACAAAAGATGTTTTCGTAACTATAAAAATCTACCGAAATATCTCAACTCTATTCCTAGCTATTTTATACGGTAAATATTAGTTTGTCCTACGGAATTAACATTAAAATATTTGTAGGTAGTTCCTAAAACGGTATGTGGCCGGTTTGAGGTTATGTCGGAACCTCGTGGCAGATGGGGGCCTTTAATGTAAGGAATGGTCTTACTTGTGATATCGATGGTCAGTCGTCTGGTGCAGCTTGCTATACTTTCGGTCCCAAGCAAGGTTTCACAAGGGTAAGCGGCATATAATCCTTAATTAGTAAGAAGGGTTGATCCTGGGGTAATCAGTCTTGCTAAAATTCTTCTGTCTTGCCTGTAGATTACGAACTGGCACTAGCAAGTTAAGCAGGAGGTGCGGTAGATTAGCTATAAGCGATAGCGAAGATAGCTTGAAGAAGAAGGAAGAGCCGTAAAATAGTAGAAGGTGACTCGGAAAGTTCCCAGATAATTAAAAGGAGGTCTGAAAGAGGGATTTGCATAAGCCATACATATAAATAGCCTTATAAACTATAGGTAAGCCAAGAAAGCTGTCTTATTTAATTTTAAGGACTCACCTGGAGCTGTTGGGCGACCTTTTTAGTTGTAAATTCAGCCAATAAATATATTTAAATCCACCAAAAGGTGATTCAAACCACAACGATTTATTTGGTATATTTTACTAACTGATTTAATCGTTTTTAGCTCAACGTTCAGATCCTACTAACAGTAGAACATATGGCACATGTTACCACAAAGCTGAGCTTATAAAAACTGACTCAAGGAAGTTTCCCAAGATGGTAGAAAATCCATGTAAGTCAATAAAAGGTCTTTAATAGTCAAGGTTAACAGGACAAAGTCTGGTAAGAGTGTGACCCTTATTGTTAAAAGAAGAATTTGACATGTGTGGATGTCATAAAATAAATGTAAACAAATAATAACATGTACTTATAGATATCAGATATTTAAAAGAGTTATGTGTACTATTTTGTGTAGTAAAATACAGTTCTTTGGACTTTAAAGTATTCACTAGATGTAATCAGGCTGACAAATATAAGACAAAAGGTTAGAATGGGTTTAAATGTAAAATAAAATACTAAATTAGGATCCTTACGATTCAAGTTTAGAATTTAGTAAATCGATCGATTACATCCCCAGTAGGAGTAAATAAATAGGGAAAATGTAGGACACAATATATATAAAAAGAAAATAGAGCTACAATAGAATAATGTAGAACAAATTAGGTATATAATAGGGTAGATTAGTAATTAGAGTAGCTTAGGGTAAATTAGAATAGAGTAGAAATAGAATAGTGTACATAGTTAAGCTTAGAATAATTTAGGATAGCGTAGAATAGGTTAGAAGTAGAGTAGTGTAAATAGTTAAGCGTAAAATAGTGATAGAATAGATTAAGATAGAATAGTTTAGTTTAGGATAGTCTAAGATAGTTTAGTTTAGGATATATTAAGATAGGATAGTTTAGGATAGAATAGTTTAGTTTAGGATAGTCTAAGATAGAATAGTTTAGTTTAGGATAAAATAGTATATATTAGGCTAGAATTAGATATAAAGTTAGTATAATCAATAACAAAATAAAAAAAACTATTTATTGTTTACACACTTTGCTGTTTTGGCTAAAACTATTCTAGATAGAATTTTTGACCCGTAACACCTCTTCCATTTGTTTGAGCTTTTTACCTCCTCTTTAACTTTTATAGCCCACTATCAAAGAAAATAAATTCCAAATCGTTCCAAGAATGACGTCTCCGTATTAAGCAAAATCAATGCTGTTGAAAATAATTTTCCATCTCTGGTGAATATAATTCAATATACCTGTTGTGGTAATAGCCAAAGAAGCAGTTGTTTTCTGGATAAAAACGGTCGCTAGGCGTTTCTAATCGGGGTTTTCGAGTTTCACATGTCTCTCAGGCAGTGTTAGTGTTTTGAGTCGCAATATCGAAGTGTGAAGAATATATTAATAATAATAACTAGTATTAAACACAGGTGAAATCTAGATTTAAAATTTGGTAGTGAATAAGATTATTATAAAAATGCTGATTAATCTTGTAAGATTAGATGCATTCGGACATATTGAAAAAAAAAATGTCCCTTCTATATTTTTAAATTGGTCACATTTGAGTAAGTAATGGGTATTATTTCCTTTGTCTAAGAAAATGTTGGGTCCCGTAAGGCAATATGCCTTAAAACACGCTAAACGAAAAAGAAAAAATGGAGATAAGAAACAACAGTGAACATTTTCAAGTCAAATAGAAGTAGTTACCGCAGGCGTACACACAAGTACATACAACAACAGATCGTCAGATTTTTCTCGGCCATAAAACGAAGAAGAAGGTATTATGTATAGTGTGTGAACGTCCATCGCGATAAATTCCCTGCTGCAGTAAGAAGGCGCTCACGCTTTCGCAGTACAAATTATAAAATAATACGTGTCGAATGGAAGACTAACCTTCCATTATATTTTCACATGATTCATTAAAATGAGTCTGGTGCACAGTGCAGTATAGAGTAGAATGTAAACACAAACGCACGAGAACTCGGCAATTCTACAGCACAGTCTTGCTTTTCGACCGCAACGTATAATTTCAACCGACTTGGCGACTAGAAAATTACTTTTTCGATCGCTAATTCGTGAAATAAGTCGGATCAAAATGAAAATGATACGTAACTAGAGGTGTAAACATCGAATTAAGAGGGTACATATATTTACGAGGGTGATGTAAAAAGCTCGAACTGCAGGTCTTATTTTTTAATGTAAAGCGATTCCTGTTTCTATTAAATGCTTTTTAACATGTCGCGTTGATTTATTTCTTTATATTCATGTTAAAAGTACAGAACTGCTCTATTTAATAAAATTTAACTACTGTGAGATACCGAAGTCATGGCCTTTGCACTTAACGTGTTAATCTGAATGTTTTAGAAGTTTTTATTTTAAATTAACAGAACTGGTACTTTTTATTTTACAAGTTCGGAAACAACCTGCAATTCTTTTAATAAATCCGCAAATAATATGTAAAAAAATTAGAATGGAAGATTCTTTGTGCTTGATGTTATCATATGTTATCAATATTATCGTTATTAATCAAGATTTTAATGTAAAAATTATAATATCAAAATTTTGACCTAGATTAGTTAAAAATTACGCGCGCATACTTTTTATAACATTCCAACAATATGATATATTTTTATAATTATGTTTATTTTTATTAATTCAAAAGCACGATTTCAATCTAATCTTAAAAACATAAGTGATATACTTTGTAAAATTTTATATTCTGAGTAAGTACTAAAATAAACTGTGATCTAAATGGATTAAATAAATATGAAAAAAATACTTCAAGTGCAATTATCTAATGAAAATTTCAATGAATAGGAATTACACCAACGCAGTGTCAATGGTGGGAAATTGCTATTTTCGCTTGAGGCAATTCAAACATTAGCATAAGCATATCAGTTGAATATATCAAAAGCATTTTTTTATTCCTGTAGTCCTGAGAAAATTACATGGTATATTTTATTCATAAGTCAGAGATAGCGACACGCCGGCACTTATAACAATCACTGTTGCGACTTACTATTGAGGGAATGTAGAATTTTAATTCATATTATAAGGAATTTTTATTAAGACTATTATTATAGTAGTATATTTAACAAAATCGCTTAGATTAGAAATAACTAAATGAAGAAACATGTTTATATAAAGAACTGTCATGATAATAAATCGTTTTTATTCATCAAGGTACAATATGTGTAAAAATATATAAGTGGAGGAAGATGAAAAGGTGAAATTCACCATGCATTGATTTACAACTTAATCTACAAATAATAACCTCGCAAATAACGTAAAAAATATAATTAAAGAAAAAATATGTAAAAACAAAAAGAAAACAGATTTTCAAAACCAAGCATTGACTAAAATTTTCCAAATGTATGAGGAAGTTGAAAGGTACATACAAAAATAGGTAAAAACAGGCAACCAGCTAAATTTATGTAGAAAGATCGGTAGAAAGGTGAATAAAAATATCTATAATTTATATCATCGTCCCCTCGACTTTTTTTAACCCCTTCAGTGCGTCCATGGGAAATTTATACAGTGCTTCTCAAAAGTCCCCTTTCCCCTGTTTTCTTTTGAAAGGTAATACTTATACTGATCGAATTTGGTGGCTGGAAATGAAATATTGTAAGCTTCTCTGAAAAATATACAGTTTCCATAAAAAGTAAATTGTCTGGGCAGGTATTCTGGGAAACCACATATTCGGGCTTATAGTTTTGAATTCTAACTTAACGGGTGTGAAGTATATCTGGATATGTTAGAAACGCATTAGGTAACTTGGAAATAACGTTGCAACAAGATGGTGCTCCTGCGCACTATTAAGGAATATGTCCCCGGACTTAACACCTTTAGATTTTTCTGTGGGGATACCTTTATATTTTTCTGTGGGGATACCTTAAATTGACATTTTAAAACAAGGAATTATTGAAGAATGTAGGGCAATTTCACCTGACACATTTGAACGAGTCCTACAAGAGTTTAATAATAGGATGTTTTACTGTCAGGAAGTAGATGGAGCACATTTTGAGTAATTATTAAAATTATTATAAGAACTGCTTCTTGAATCTTTATTAATTAAAATTGAAACTCAACTTTTAGTCGTTGTTTATTTTATTCATTATAATCACTGTAAATCCAAACATAATTAGTATGACTGAATAGGTATTCTAAATGCTTTTCAACTTGCCCTAAGGTCCCATTCCCAGATAGCACAGGACGTCCTAAGGACGTCCATTACATGTCCATTTATCGTCGGTACGTCCAGGACCAATTCTGGACGTTTTAAGTATGTCCAGTTTAATAAATCCTCGGGACGGCAAGAAATGGATATCTGTAAAACGTCAATTCTACGTGCTTTATTATATTTTCATGGATTCATATTCGCATTGTATTATTATTATTATTATTATTATTATTTGGTTATATTATATAAACAACACATATAATGTGATAATATCGCTGTTCCAAAATAGCAATGACGTAACTGCAAAATTAGGGTAATTGTTCTCAAATATACGTAACACATATGGGAGAACAACGACGTAACTGTACTTGCTTTAATAGCCTCTAGAGCAAGTTGCGTCGTTGTCGAAATATCAGCTGTTTGTGACATTATTTCATAAGAACATCGCCGAATGATTAAGTTCTGTCTGATGTTATCGAGTCTATATTAGTGTCCGGTGGAACAACGACGCAATTGTGAATTTCGCGTAATTTGAACCATTTTAACTGTAATTCCAGTGCGACAACGACGTAAGTGTACTTTGTTTAGTTTCATATAAATTAATCTACAATCTAGTTTAACTTATTTTTTTACACTGTTTCTTTTCAGCTAAGTACCTAGAAATTATCTAATAAAATGATACCTACCTTAGAAGGCAATTGTCTAGAACTATTTTTTTTTCGTTTCCTTTTTGTTCGAATTTGTTACTTTGAGTCATAATTTTATCAGAACAATGACGCATTTCCAATATAAAGTGATGGTGGGGGAACGCTGTAAATTTTACAAAAAAAAAATATATTTTGAACTTCATCGTGAGCCATATTGTAACCATTTGCCGAGTCCCAACTCCATACGTTTTAATTCAATTCAAGCACTGAAATATTCTCAGGACTCAGATTTTATTGGTGTTCAATGTTCATGATTCGATGGTACGTACATATTATACCAGTACAAGTTCTACCATTCCGCCATTTGACTGTGATTCGACTCTGTAAGTTTGTGGTTGATTAAACTTAATTTTTTGCAGTTTGTACTTTTTTTATTTCTGAGAAAGGTGGAAGTTTTCCAGTGGATACTACAAAGCTAAAAGGTTAGTGAATTCATAATGACTAGCAGGGCAAACTTAAACAAACAGATTGGATTTTCATATTGATCTGCCTTTCATTTTGAATAAGCCATTAAATTATTTTCAGGTTCAGCTGAGAAGGCAAATATGGCCAAATTAAAAAAAAAAACTAAACTGCTGTCAATCCAGGCATGGTTGAAAAGGGCAAAGTAGAAGAGAGACGGAATGAATTTGACAAAAAAGTTTTAATAATTTTATTATTCATAGGTTATTTGCTTCCAAACAAATTTTTTTGAAATTATTCATTATTTTCACTAATTTCCTTAAACATCCTGTTATTCCCCATTTGGGCTTTTGAAAATGTCCATGGAATGTTCTTAAATGGACGTTCTTAAGACAACCTGATTATTAACAATGAACGTTCCAAAGACGTCCATAAGATATCCACGTCCGTGAAATGAACGTTGTAAGGATGTCCTGAATGTACAAGCAGGACGTTTTTAGAACGTCCATAAGACTTATTTGTGCTATCTGGGTTTAATATTATTGGTTCCAGTTACCTTGTGACGTCATCGGTGACTATTATCTGTTATCACTAGTAGAGAAGCTTACAATAGTTCATCTTCACCCTCCAAATTTCATCAGTCTAAGTATTACCGTTCAAAAGAAAAGAAATAGGGGAGGGGACTTTTGAGAACTACTGTATATATTTTTAAATCTAGACGAAGTTTACTTTAATACCCCACAAGCCATGCTTTGAAACAAAATGCGTAATTTTATAAAAACTTTCCCCATTTTCTCCGTCACTGAGGAATTGTTTTTAATCCCATTAAAATGACCCCCAAATGGAACCTATCTCACAATTTTCGATATAGACAGATTAGCAGACCGACAGATAGAACATACTGTCTACACACGTATGTGAAGTTAGCATTTCAGATCCAAGCATTTCTACTATTTGAGGGAAGTTCTAGAGTTTCTGATGCTTTTTACCAATAATTCTATCGAATTTGTATCGAAAACTTCAATTTAAACAAATGAGATACTAATTTTCGAAAATTAGCATCCCAATAAAATAAATAAATAAATAAATAAATAAATAAATAAAAAAATGGAAAATCAATAGTTTAGGAATATGTATTTTTAGAATTCTTGTTTATTTGTATTGCTACATTATTTTAATGAATGAAATAATTATAAATAATTGTTATACAAACAAACCACATTAAAATGACCCCAAATGGAACCTACCTCGCAAAATTCAATATAGACAGTTTAGCAGACCGACAGGTAGAACACACGTAGGCATGTGGAGTTAGCATTTCAGATCCAAGCATTTCTACTTTAAGGGGAGTTCTTATAGCATCCGACAAAGTTCTAGAGTTCCTGATGCTTTTTACGAGTAATTTTCTATCGAAGTTGTACCGAAAACTTTCGGAAATTAGTATCCCAATACAATAAATTAAATAAACAATAATGCTACATTATTTCAATTAATGGAATAATTATAAATAATTGTTATACAAATAAATCCTAGATGCAAGTGAGATGATGTTGTATTATGAGGAGTTATATAATGTTGGGCGAGGATTTCCTCACCTGTAAGACTCGCGTATCGGGGACAACACTAATAATTTGTAATTGCTGTGGTGGGAGGTGTTTGTGTGAATGCGTCTTGTTTGTTTTCATTTACGCCGTGACTAGCAATAGTATTTTATAAATCTTAGAAGCAAATTTCACATACATGAACAAATAATAATAATAATAATGCCGTGACAACAAGAAGATGAAGCAACGATTTCTCGTAGGGTGGCGGCTTCGCCGCCACCAGAAAATTTTAATCCATACCTGGCTACGCCGACCGGCATAAGCACCCATTTGTACGTATCGGACGGACGCATCGGACATACGGATTTGAAGAACAGAATATTTTTCATAATTTTAAATGAGTCAACGCACACTGATTCGTATCGAACGAATAGCATGGACGGAACTTCCTTATGGATTCTTGGCAGATCACTAAATTGCCCTGCACAAAAATACGTAAAACCGATTCACATCAATGTGCGATGTCTACAAAAAAAGTACGATGCGTCCTTTCCGTTCGATACGTAATGTGCGCTTACCTTTATTCATAAATTGTATAAAATTTATCTAAAGCCCTGTTTACATTAGGTTCTCTTAAAACGTCGAACCAGTCGGCATCCATAACTGTTTCACTAACTAAAATGAGGTAAAGTTTTATAATTGTATGGTTAAAGTCTTCAAAAATATATGTTTTATTAAGATCCACAATGTTTTCTTAGAAAAAAAAGAATTCTAACCTTTACTAATTTCTGAATAATGCAAAAAAAAATTTAATAGTAATTTTTTATCAAATTCGACATACCTATTGAATTCTAGAACTATATCCCATAAGAGTATGAGAGGCTAACTTCACACATATTGTCTACATCTTTCTAAGAAGTTATTAAAGTCGCTGTTTTTGTACTTACCGAACACGGGACTGTGATCTGGTCGCTGTACATTTTTGACGATGGAATTGTAGTTTCCGCCTCCTGATTTTTCCTGAAAAACAAAATAAAGATACTTCAAAATACGTACAGTACAATTTATCCAATAAGAAAATCCCTACCACCTGAGGTAAAGCCCCAACTTATCGAAACTATTAACAGGCGGGTAGTCCATTAATCCCGGATTATTTATACAAATTTAAATCTTCACTGGATGGATATTATCATATTGCGTTAAGTTCATTTTATTGCTGAACAAAACATTATTTACATATTTTTTTTTATATTCTCAAGAATTAAGTGGGCAGTGAAAAGAAACGGTGTTGGATAAGATCACAGATGGCTTGTATTTCCTCGAAAATAATGCCTATTTGCGCCGTATTTTTATATAAATAGCCGAATTTTACAGTTTTATCATTAGTTTTGGATAAGAGACCGATCAGTTAACATAAATGTTGCAAACATAAATTAGTATACAGTTTACAGGTGTTTGAAACTAAATAAATTAAATTATAAAATATATTATTGTATTTAGTGAAAATAAATTAAAAATTAAAATGTTTAAAATAAATAAACATTGCATTGGTGTCATAAGTGGGATACTGTAAATAAATAGTGAGTAAAATGGCTCGAAGGACATTACTATAATATTAATTCAAATTGTAACGAGAGTGTTAAAAAAGGCTAATTAACAGTCTTCATTTTAGGTTTAATGAACAACATTATTTTACTTGCGAATAAAATTTAACCTTGCACAATATAGAAAACTAACGTCAATTTATAGATACTATGCCTTATTTATAAATTATTATATAACTAAGTTGACTCTCCTTATTGCACAGCCTATTTGAGTTTTAATTGTTCGCCCTCATCTTTTTGTCATTGGACATACTTTAACAAGTTCTTTGATCAGATCATTTAAATCAACTGTAGGCTCGACTGTAGGTAGCGAAGATTTAAAAGAAAAAGAAATCACCGCAAAACTATCGACATGGTCCTTCGAGTCGGATTTGAACCAGCGACTAATGGAATATGTAAAAATTGCACTGGATTTTCGAACATCTGTCTCAATACGTGTGTTTAAGTGAACCACTTAGATAGTTATTCTACAAATTTAATTACATTAAAAAGAGGTTTAAAAAAATATGTGCGTAGCTATTTTTTAACTATTACTTTTCAGAAGCTCAATTCGTATAGGTAACTTTTATGTTTCGTATTACTCATTGGAAAAAAAAATTATTTAATTCACACTTAGGTATTTATCTCGGTAGGTATTTATCATAATTATAATGTTCATTTGAATTTAAAAATTCTACTTAATTTTAGTAGATACTTAGGTAGGCTATGTTTTAGTTAGTTTTGTACCCTTCACAATATATGTTACATTATATTAGTTACTATGTTACGTAAGAAGTATAAAGGTATCCGTTGTGAGACTAATTTTTAAATAATATGTTAATTATAATTTTCATTATTATTTCTATCATCAAAGAAACAACATTAATGTACAGGAAGTAATTCAAAATTCTGTTTTTTTTTTTGTCTACAACCTTGGATAATGTAAATAAATCTGTATGCATGTGTACCAGAGGTAGTGATGATTTTATCTTAAAATTAAATCACAAAGCTATGGAACTAAGGTACCTATGAAAATCTACTGTATCTGTAACGTGTGGAGGGTGGGTTACCCCACGGCACTTAGGCCTCATTATGCCCATTGTGCATCCTCCTGAGATGATAGGCACCTCCTAGCTCGTGAGCCAGCCAAAATATTTAATGTAGTTGACAACGTCGCCAAGAGGTGGTGCTTCTCTTATATCGGACGGTGTTAATTGATACTCGCCTAACACAAATCTTCTAATAAATGAGAGCGTCGAGCAATCGCAAAGGATATATGTATGGTCTCATCTTCTTGTTCGCACCCTCAGCAGAGTGCGGATTCTGACAGCCCCTTTATATGGAGATGCTTTCGTACTTGGCAATGACCAGTCAGAATGCCTGTGACTAGGCGCAGATTCTGTCTAGTCATAGTCAAGTATTTGTTTGCTGCAGTATTGTCAGGATAACTTAAGAGCTCCCTGGCAACTCTGCAGTTTCTTGTTTCATCCCATATTTCCTTGAATTTTACAAGGGAATGTTCTTTGATTAGGTCTGTCACTACCGATTTTGTCAGGCCAATAGAAGGGCTAGGTCCAAAACGTATTTGGTTGGCTGCTTTTTTACCTAGTGAATCAGCAAGACGGTTACCTTTCGATGTGGCGTGACCTTTAATCCATCTTAAGGTGACCACATTGTTGATGGATACTTCGGCCAAAGCTTCGTGACATTCTAGTACTAACTCTGAATAAATTCGTGGTCTGTTCGGGGTGAGTAGTGCTTGTCTGCTATCTGTATAGATGAGCATGTTCCTTCCAGTGATATTCTTTCTGGTTATTTCTTCTGCTGCTATGATAATCCCCATTAGCTCTGTTTGAACTACAGGCACTATTGCTCATAGCCCATTTTATGTTTAGATTTAAGAATCTGGAGTATATTCCACATCCTGAGCCTTGTTTTGTTTTAGAACCGTCGGTGTAGATATGAATCGTACCTGCCACTTCTGGCTCTTCTATTTGTTCTATTATAACTCTATATGGCTTATGGAAGATATACCTCGGTGAGATGGAGTCCACGTTCGCTTGAAGCAGTGGGAGCGTATCGAGCGCCTCCTGCCAAACGTTACTTCTCGCCTCACCAGATCCTACATCAGGTTTTACTGTATAAATTAACCGACATTTTCACTCAGATCAATTGCACTGGATCATCTTAGAGCTGAATGTATCTAGTAATCATAAGATAAACTGCAAGAATAATTGATACTATTAAACACTGATCTGATATGTAATAAATACTTAATTATCAATTACTTAAGTAATATTTTTTATAGTTTGTCCAATTCATTGGTGAGGTAGTTTTAGTTTTAATATTTTTTTCCTCAAATAAGTATTAAATATAGAAAAAGTCATTTGAAGCACCATAGTTTTGTTCAAGTACCAGTTTTTAATACTAAAGGAAATATTTTTTATTATACTTAAAATTTTGATACACTAATAATTAACACCCCTGTTAATGACTGGAACCAAAAAGCTGTTAGTTCTCATATTTAAAAAGTTGATTGCAAATGTTTTAGACAGTACGACAACACTGTGGATCAGTAATTGACAGGATTTGTCAATGACTGGAACAAACTGATTTTGATACTTATTGGCACTTTAATAAAAATTAACTTGTAGAAATAAATTGAAACTGAGCCTGTGCATAATATTTTGTAGGTGCCATAACGAACAAAAAAAACGTGTTCCAGTTATTGACACTCATGTACCTACCAATACGCTAGTTCGGTATGATGTAATTTGGGTTCCACTGACATTTAATTCTAACCAAACTTTTAACAAAAAAAAACATCAATACATTTGACATATACGATTTTACTGTTTTCAGTTTATTTCTAAATATTGTTTACAGGTAATAAAAAATAGTTTAAATGTATGTAATTGGTAACTAAACGATTGTATATTTGATGCATATTATCTACTTACTTTAGGAATATATTTATGAAAGTGAAAAAACGATATAATTTAGGTAAACAAAACGAACAAAACGCACTCAGTGGAACCATAATTATATCATCACTGAACTAGCGTATAATCAACACTCCTGTCAATGACTGGAACCAAGAAGCTGTTAGATCTCATATTTGAAAAATTGATTGCGATTTTCTTAGACAGTACGACAACACTATTTCCTTGGGAACCATACTGGTTTCGACACTTTAATATAAGTGAGGTTATAAGATTTACGAGTATAAAAAAGGCGAAAAAAAGTAAAAAAACCATCAATATTGTTTAATGCACATCCAGGAATAATTTAAATAAATTTAACAGGAAGTGATAAGTTAGATATTCTAGGTCTTACTGACCTTATGAATGTACTTAAATATTCTATGACTGAACTTGCTCTTGTCACGAGTCTTGTCACCATTTTGTAAGTGACTATAGAGCCGCCTAACATCAGTTACATGTTTTCAATTATTCTAATAATACCAACGTTTTAGATAAATTTATCATATCGAGTCTAATGTTTTAAGAATAATCGAACGGATGTCAATTATTGTTACTTACCTTGCTTAATTTATAGAGCAAGATAAGTACTTGGAGTCAAAAAAATATTGTCCAATTTTTGAGAAATTCGATTTACGTAATAATCTGGATGGTACTAAAATACTGCTTCCTTTGCATTACGGAACTTTAATTGATGGTAAATTTGTGCTCTTTAAATTTGTGAGAATAACGTGACATTTCGAAAATAAACTAGGTATTATGATATCAAGGTACCTCTAAAGCTTTTAATGTGGTCAAAAATACTAATTTAACCAATACCAAATGGTTGTAATAATAAAGTTTTATTTCAGTCTTTCCTACATTTTTTTGCTTGAATTTTGAAGTATGATAATGTCTCGAAAATTGTATAAAATAGTAGTTAGTCTAAATCTCAAAGAAGTACTGATTAATCGGGTAATATGTATTTATTTGTAATCAGAATTGATTAGGTACTCCTCCAACCCAAAATTACTTTTATAGGCATCATAATAAAATGTATCCGACGCCTATGGATTTTCGCAAAACACATCTTACAATAATAATGCCCTTCTTTCATTTGCTATGATAGCACTATGGTAGGTAGTAGTTATATCAATCGAAGACATAAGTGTATGAATGTAATCTTGTCACAAAATAATTATTTCGAGAAAAACGCGTTGGAAGTTTTGCAATTGCATATATGGCTCATGGCACCTTCATATTTTAGGAATCTCGGTTATTTATTAAAATTGGAAATCAAAATTATCACAGAAGAAAAATATAGCATAAGTATTTGAAGTATATTAGAAGATAAAATAATTTTTTAAAAATGTGACATTACATTCAAGCTGTACTTATCTATTTTGTTTTGCTTAGGTAGGTACCAAAAAACAAATTCTAAAATAATCGAGAAAATAATCTATTGTTATCATGAATC